TCCATTCTATAGCTAAATCCTGCCAGTTCTACCTTTAAAACATTGCAACAATCTTTATGTCTTTAATATGTCTTTGAGTGTAAATTCAGTGTTGTTGTTTTTTCATATAGAGTTAAGCAATTACCACCATGATTTAATTTTAGAATATCTTCATGATTCCTAAAGAATCCCTACACACATAAGCAATCACTACCCATTTTCTCTATATTTTGCCCCTGGAAACCACTAATCTACTTTTTTTAATCACCATAGATTTTCCTATTCTGGACCTTTCATATAGTAAATGAAATCATATGATACGTATATAGTCTTTTATGACAAGCTTTTTTTCACTTAGCATTATGTTTTTAATTTGTATCTATGTTGTAGCTTATATGAGAACTTCTTCCCTTTTTATGGCTGAATAATATTCTACTATATGAACATATGTCACTATATATATACTTTTTAAAGCCCAAAGATGTTTTATTTTAGGCATAAAAATATTTCTAAACTTTTCTTCTTGGTGTCATTCGAAATTAAGAATAAAACATTTACTAAAACATTTGTAATGCAGAATCTATTGACCTGCAGTCTGCTGAGAAGGTCACTCTGATTCTGGATCTGCTCTTTTGTAAAGCTCTTAAGAAAATCTTTGATATTCTTAAGTTTTTCTATAATGTACATAAGAGTGAAGTGTTCTGTCCCAATTTATTCATCTTGTTTCACACTCTGTGAGCCTTTTCAATCTAGCTTTTTTCATTTGTTTATCTTTATTTACTCAGTGCAATTCTTGGTCATTAATTCTTCGAATACTTTATTCCTTCTTTTCATTTTTAACATCTCCTTCTGGGAATCCAGTTACACAGACATTAATCCTGTTTTTTCTTTTATTTTTATTACTTGATTTTATTTTACACTAGGTAGTGGGCACAAAGCAATCCTCCTTAATAAAGTTGACAATTAGCTTCCCTCAGAATGTTTTTAATAAAGCACATTAACAAAAAGTATTACTGCAAATTGTTCTGCAATCCAAACATACAATAGCTTGGAAAACAATGTTTGGGAGGGAGAGGGGGAGCCTATGTAAAAAGACAGATAAAAACAACTAGAACAGCGCAGATTTTGTATGGCTCTGATTTCACCGTTTCTTACTGTATCGTCAGAGTTAACAATCCTTTCCTTCCACTGGCTCCATTGCTCAGCACTTAAAAAAAACACGCACTTAAAAAAAACCCACACTTTTCTTCCTGGGTTCAGTTCACCTTCTGGATCCACCCAGTATTCTCTAAGATAGGCCTTTTCTTTAAAGTCCCCAGCGCTGACATACCTTGTTTTCACAACCTGAGACATGTTACCCTGTCTGTCTGCTGCTGCTGCTCTGCTTAGAAAATGGCAGAACTCTTAAAGTTTCACCTGTCTTTTGCTTCTTTATAGCTTTTTCTGGAGTAACGTGCTTCTTCCTCTTTCACTTTGTCACCTTCACTGGCAGAATCTCTGCCAGTAGAGCTCAAAGAAACAAGTTCTTTGATTTAGGTGCTGCTCCTCCCCACCTTGTTATTTCTCTGTGTCAAACAGCTTTTCTTCTCTTTTACATGTTTCATCTCTTTATTACTTCACAATACCCTCTAAGAGATTTATTTGAACTGGCCTTCCCATTCATCAATTCATCATCAGCTGTGTCGAATCTGCTGCTTAATCTAATTGTTGAGTATTTTCTTTAATCAAATTTAAAAATACATAATTCAGAAGCTGAAGGGGAATCAGACTTGTCCTCTCTCCAGGACTGTCCACTAGAGCAGGAGAGAAATCTACAGTCAGCCAACCAGAGGCCCATGGCCAGGATTTTGGACCTTGGACCCATTCACAGAGGCACTGGCAGTGTCCAGGCCCAAAGCAGACAGGTGCAATGTGCGGGGTGGTGCCAGTATCAGTCCTGTACAGTGACTTGGTTGGCTTCTCGGTGGTTTAAACCCTCTTAGTTCCCACACGGACACTGACTCTGACCTTTCCATGGATTCTCTGAGATGGCCTATTCTCTTCCAACAGTTTATTATCTCATATGAAGTTGAACATATGTATTGGGTCCTGGGAGAAGTGTAGGGGAGTTGAAGCACCAATTACTTCCTTCAACATAATTCAGATTCTGTAGATACTATCATAAGTTGTGGTTCAAATAAATAAAGTTTAAAAACATAGTACTTAAAGTTTTAAAATGAATGATTGGTAGAATGGCAAATAAATAAAACTAATCAAAGTTAGGTGAGAGGAACAGAAGTGGGGTTAAGGGATATACTCCCCCAACTTTGATGAATGGGATTCAGAAGTTACATTTCAAAGTTGATAAAACCAAGTAAGAGAAGCAAATCTTATTTAGAGTTGTGAAAATAATCACTGAAAGAACTAAGGCAAGTGGTAAAATATGACTATATTTGGTCAGAGACATACTAGAGAGTAGAATGGGCAAGTGTCACACTTCATTTTCTACTTTCTACACCATTTAAATCTTTTTCAGTCCTCCTGTGGGCCACATCATCACAGATCAGACCCCATGATAGAAAGGAATACTAGTAATATGTACATACATGTGCACATGGAGCTAACTGCCGTGCCACAGCTCTGAGAATGCAAACTATAAAGGATTTAATTACATAGGAATCAAGTCAAGAGCACAGATTTGCCTCCAGATTTGTTTTCTTGGATAAAACACAAAGCAGCCTCACACCCATCATGAGCTAAATCGGGTTCAGAAAAGGAAGGAAATCCAATCCCAAAAGGTGATTAGGAAAATGCAAGTTTTTATCCCTAGGAAAGCAAGTCTTAAAAATGTCCATCTGTCATGATTTGACCTTGACTGCCAGGCCAAAACCAAACTTGCAAGATTAGTTGCTTATTTCATCTGTTTAATAATACTCATAAACTTGAGAATTCCACAGGGTAAAGGCTAGCATAAATTTTTCTAAATATGAATAAGAGGGACTTAATATTTACTGGATTACACAACAGAACTTGGAGTCTAAAATTCTGGGACTGTTTTACCTGCATTTCTACCAGTTGATAGTTGATTATCTTGAGCCAATCATCACTCCAGCCCAAGGTTTTTTGTCTATAAAATGGGCTTAGCATCACTAACTGCATAGAGTTGCTATTAAGACGTAATAAAATTATGAACTATATATAATAATACTTGATAAAATATAATGTCCTAAAAAAAAATTAGGTACTATTATTATCTTTACAACAGTTGGTCACAAAGGACATCAGCATAAACATAGCCATGACATAATATCCTGCTACTAAAAATATAACCATGGAGAAGTGTATCTCTACTTGAAAGGGTGAATTATCCCAGAAGACAAAAGATGCTGCTTGACCTCACACAACTCACAATGATATCAGAGGAGCCAGCTCCCCTCTTGATGACTAGCATCCACATGGGCCTAGAATTAACCTCAGTCCATAACTTTCAGTATGGAAAATACACATGTTGGAGAGAATAGATTAATAAAAGTAGATTAGCATGGTGTATAAGAAGTGGAAAAAAAAATTAGGTATATTAAGGATTGTTCATTAGATTCCAGATCCCCTAGAACTAAACCTAAAGCCAGGTGTTTAAAGAAAGCTAAAACTTATGGCTTTTAGAAAGTACATAGAGAGAGGGATTGGATTCAGGGGAAAGCAAAGCTAGCTCTTCAGAAAAATAGCATGTCCAGGAAAGAGCCCTGGCCCAGCAGTCAGGACACTAAGTTCTGGTCCCAGCACTGTCATAGGCTCTCTAGGGAACCTCAGGGCAGGCCATGGCCCTCTCTGGGCCTCAGTTTCTTTATAATATAAAGAGAAAGAGAAGTTGTAAGATTAGTGAGCACAGCAAACCAATAATTTAGAACATTTATTAAGTGTCTATGATGGGCTAGATGAGTGGTGGGCAAATTTTGGCTCAAGAGCCACATGCGTTTCTTTGGCCCCTTGAGTTTTTTAGCAAAGGCCAGCTTAGGAGTACCCTAATTAAGTTAATAACAATGTACCTACCTATATAGTTTAAGTTTAAAAAATTTGGTTCTCAAAAGAAATTTTAATCGTTGTACTGTTGATATTTGGCTCTGGTGACTAATGAGTTTGCCGACCACTGGTCTAGATGGTGTTCTAGGCATCAGGAACCTAGAAGAAAACAAAAATAGGCACAGTTCCTGCTGCAATGGAGCTGACTCTACATCAATTCAAAGCCACGCATGCTCAGATTCTGGCTTCAGGCTGCGGAGATGCCAGCGTGGGTAGTGTGGATGGTAAATGACCAGAGAGGATGTGGCCTGACCTCTTCAAGGAGAAGTGTTCTTTTTGAGAGCAGAAGCAAGTCCCCTCACACCCGTCTTGCCCCAGTCCAGGTTTGGACTTTGAAGCTTAATACAGATCATGGCGGCCAACTGACTTTTACAACTCAGAGAACCTTTCAAAAATATAAAGATGATTTGTTGTTGTTTCTTTTTTTTATTAGATAACTAGGCCTGCTATCTTAAAGAAATGAGAAAATTATTGGATACACCTTTTTTAAAGCTTATCCAAAATAATTAACATTAATGCATAGTGAAATTTCAAAAAATTCTTAATCACTGAATTAATTATTCCTAATCTCTATTTTCTCTATTAGAAAAAAATGTAACTTATAGATGTAATTTTAAAAGAAATTACTTACTATATATATTGAACAGAGCATCCTCTTACCAAACATAAAGCCCAAGTATTGATTTTTTTCTTTTTGTTTTTAGTTAAAATTTTTATTGTTGAAATTATTGAAGATATCCCCCAATTTTTCCCCCTTTGTCCACCTCCACCCAAGCCCCTGACCTAAGCATTGATTTCTATAATATATTAAAATAATGTACTTTGCATTGCCAAGAGAGAAATAGTTTGATTTTTTAAAATATAGTTTTATTGATTTCAGAAAGAGAAAGATAGGAGAGTGAGATATAAACATCAATGATATGAGAAAATCATTAGTGGGCTGGCCACTTCTTTCACAAGCCTCAGGATTTCCAAGCATGCACTGTCTTCCAGAAGATTCTCTGACAAGCCTGCTTTATCCTGGGATTCCCCATGATCAATATGACAGAATGAAGAGAAGGATAGGCAGCCATGAGTGTCTCTGAGATGAAGATAGTGGTGAGATTAACAGGAGAAGAGTTGGAAGTGATAGAGTAGGGGCTGGCCACAATGTAAACCAAGTAAAGTATAAGGAAGCAGACCAAGGACTTCAGGACAGTGATGTGAGCTTTGGCTCGAGCATCATTTCGGCCAGCAGTATGGAACTTCATCTTCTTATGGTGTCTATACAGAGAGACAATTAACATCCCAGAGGAAATTAGAAACACAGAGCAAGGAAACCCACTTCCTGCATTCAGCTGTAATATATCCAGATACTGCCAGTCTGAAAGGGAGTACAGAATGCTGCTGTTTCCTTGGAAAGAACTCTGGAGCTTTAAGCCAATATTAGTTATAATTATCAGATTGATCAGGAAGCACCCCAGAAGACACCAGGCACTCAGGCTATAGGCCCTCTGCTTCAGCCATAGGCAGACAGAGTGTTCAAAGGTTGTGATCTTCTTGCAGTAGAAGACACTGAGGAAAGTGGCAAACCACAGGCTGGCCTGGCTGACCACAACCCAGAAGATACTGAGGAAGCGAAATCGGGCCCAGTTCTTGAAAATCAAAAATAGCATTAGGTCCACCATAATTAGGCACTGCAGGAGAAGTCGGCAGCCAGCCAGGCCCAGGACAATGAGGTTGTAGGAGGATTCCTTGAGTTTTCTTACCCATTCTACAAAACTCCAGACCACAAGGACTCCATTTCCAATCAGGCCAATGAGAAATTCAGCCACTGCCACCACCATCAGCAGTCCTAGGGTGGCAATATGCATGGCTGGGGAAGGAGTCCCTCACGGCAGGCTCAGGGGGTGCCCTGCTTCTCTGCTGATGAACGTGTTCGGTTCCTGGCTGAGCTTCAGATCCCCTGAGGGTGACACCACACTCACGGTAAATTTTCACACCACAAAACGTGGATTTAGCCTTACCCTTCTGTAAACTGTCCTCAAGCAGAGGCTGAACAGCTGTGACCAGGAACAGACAGTTCAGAAGTTATAATCCCCTCTGTATTTGCATGCAGATGAATGAACTCTGACCTTAGACTCAGAGATGTGAAACAGGAAAACAGACACCAGCTTTCCTCCTCCAGGGTCACAGGCTAACATCTAGACACCAGCACATAATATGATAAGACCTCCCAATAAGAAAGGCGGGATCAAAAACATTCTGATTCCATACCTTGCCAAATGTGAGCTCTCATGTATAAAAATAAATTTTATTTTCACATAAAGAACTTTGACATATAAGCATTAAAGCTGAATAAATGCAGGAATTTTCAAAATATTTCCTTATGAAAAGAGAGAAGTAGGGGAAGTTTTGAGAAGAAATCAGAGAACCAAAATGTTAAGTGCCAAATAATAAAAATATAGATTAGGTAGAGAAGCCATTCTTGTTAATCAGGGTCTTGAAGTCACTTGCCCTTTATGATAACAATCTTCACACACTTGACTTGGCATATATCTCACATCAAGGTCTTAGATAAAGGAAATGAGGAAGAAGATGAGCTCAAAGAAATGAGAGAAGAAAAAAAAAGACTAGCACAGTTATCAAAAATTTAGGGAATGTGGGAGACTTCACAAGATCCTCCCTTTTGCAACTCGGCCATAAACATGCCATCCAGACTGAGGAAGACCCAAAAACTTTGGGGGCACCTGAGCGATGGCCATGGCTGCATCAGCAAGCGCAGAAAACACCCAGGGTTGGGTGGGGGAGCACAGTAATGCTGGTGGCTTGCACCATCCCAGGATCAACTTTGACAAAGATCACCCAGGTTACTATGGGAAAGCTGGTGTGAGGCATTACCACCTAAAGAACCAGAGCTCCTGCCCAACTGTCAACCTTGATAAACGGACCCTGGTCAGTGAGCAGACACGGGTAAATGCTACCAAGAACAAGACTGGAGCTGCTCCTATCATTGATGTGGTGTGATCAGATTACTACAACGTTCTGGGGAAGGGAAAGCTCCCAGAGCAGCCTGTCATTGTGAAGGCCAAGTTCTTCAGCAGAAGAGCCGAGGAGAAGATGAAGGGTGTTGGTGGGGCCTGTGTCCTGGTAGCTTGAAGCTACATGGAGGGAAATTCATTAAAATGTCCACAAGTAAAAAAAAAAAAAAGAAAGAAAGAAAGAAAGAAAGAAAGAAAGAAAGAAAGAAAGAAAGAAAGAAAGAAAGAAAGAAAGAGAGAGAGAGAAAAAGAGAGAGAGAGGAAAAAAGAAAGGGAGAGAAGGGGAGAGGGAGGAGGGAGAGAGGGAGAGAGATAGGGAGTTAGGAAATGTGCTTCATTTATTGTCCATATTCAAACTTCCCTGGGACTGGCCTAACACAGATGTGTTTATGGAAGACTAAATTCTAAGATGGTCCAAGACTCCCACTTGGAATAATCCTTGAGCTGCAATGGGGTTATCAATAAAATGGGATGGCATGTCTTTGCTTTCATTACAGGGCAAAGATGAAGGGTTTCTGCAGATGTGATTAAGATCTCAAATCATTCAAGTTTGAGTTCCTCAAAAAGGTGATCATCCTGGGTGATCTCCTTTTTGAGGAAGATCAAATTTAATCACCTAAAGTTTTAGAAGAGGACAGGGTTCTCTTGCCAGCTTTGAACAGTCCAGCTGCCACATGGTACGAAACTGCAGGAAGCCTCTAGATACTGAGACTGGCCCCCAGTTGACAGCCAGTAAGACTTTAGTCCTACAACTGCAAAGAACTGAATTCTTTCCACAACCAGTGAGCTCGAAAGAATGCCCAGAGCTCCAGGGAAGCTACAGCTTAGCCAACATCTTAACTGCATCCTGTGAGACCTTGCAGAGAGCGTCCTCTAAGGCTGCACTCCAAATTCCTGATCCTAGAAGGTGTGACACAACAAATGCATGTCCTTTTAAGCTTCTAAGTTTGTGTTGCTACACAAGAAACAGAAAAGCAACACAGTGTTCAAAACAGGCCAGGAGCGACTTAGAGGAAAGGAGGAGAAAGAGGAATTGGATGAGAAAGGAGGAGGAAGGCTGGCCTAGCTTTTTAGGAAGGCAGCATGAGTGTGGTAGAAAGAGTTCTGTAGGAGGAGTAGGGAGCTCCAACTTTTGGACTCAGAGCTTCCTTAGGCGCTCTACAAAGCTGCAGACAAATCACTGCCCACCCTGGACCTTAACTGGTCTATGAATAATACAACGGACTTTAGGACCATATTTCCATTCATTCGGATAGGGTAAGAGTGTACTGGGCACAGGAGCACAGCAGTGAGCATGCAAGTCCCCTGCTTCCAGGGAACACATCTTATAAGACATCGGGCCTACAGCTGTGGAGACGCAGAAGGGAAGATCATAATCTGCCACAGGCCAGAAAACCTGGATGAGAGATGAACCTCTCCATTTTTATTGAATTTATCAGGTAATATTGATTCATTGCAGCGTTACTTACAACCCAAGTGCCTATCGGTAAATGAGAGGATAAAAAAGCTGTGGTACATTCACACAATGGAATACTACTTGGCCATAAAAAAGACAAAAATCTTAACTTTTGCGACAGCATGGATGGACCTGGAGAGCATTATGCTAAGTGAAATCTGTCAGAGAAAGACAAGAGCAGGGTTTTTATGGTGACTTTTGACTGCAGATATAACTGCTCTTCTCTCGCACCCTGCCCTGCCCTTCTCTAGAGTCTGGGCCATGGAACATCATACAAAGCATAGTAGTTGACTGATGTGTATCCAGAAAGCCTAGAATGGTCTAAAAAATAGATAGGTAGGTAGGTAGGTAGGTAGATAGATACATATATACATACATACATACACACATGCATACATACATACATATTGCCATAAATATAATGGTTTATTGATGCTACTTTATTACTGGTATTAAGCAAGGCTAAACCCAGTCAGAAAAAGACAAGTATTACATGATCTCACTCATATGTGGAATTTAATGAATAAAATAAACTGATGAATGAAATAGATCCAGAGCCATAGAAGCATGGAACAGACTGGTGAATCTCAGAGGGAAAGCCTGAGGAAAAGGCTCACTTGTGGAGGGGGAGATTAACCAAAGAACTTATGTGCAAGTATCACATAACCCATGGTCACAGACAATAGTGTGGTAAAGGCCTGAAGGGTAGGTGGGTTCAGGTTAGAGGAGGTTAATGGGGGTTATAACCATAGAGGGGGTTATTTGTAATACTTTCAACAATAAAGATAAACTTTAAAAAATAAATTAACAATAATTTTTAAAAGGCTAAACCACATAGGAAATTGATATAATTGGTTAAATCCAGTAACGAAAATGCTTGCCTAGCCCCGTGGTTGAAGTAGACATATGAAAAGGTTTGATTCAAGTCAGGACACATGCCCAAGCTGCAGGCTCAATCCCCAGTGTGGATGTGCAGGAGGCAGCCAATCAGTGATTCTCCCTCATCAGTGATATTTCTATCACTTTCTCCCTCTCCCTATCTCTTTCTGAAATCAATAAAAACATGTATTTTTAAAATAATAATAAAAATTTTAAAAAGAAAAATGCTGGCTGAAAATTATCTAGCAATTAATGTACAGAGTTGTATATATTTTTTGAAAAACACAATATTTCAAAATAATAGCTATTTTCTACTTTCCTTCAACAAGGGTGGCATAGTGTGTTGGTGAAGAAAATGGAATTATCTGCAGCAATTTAGGAAAATGTGATACTTCCCATGCAAAACATGAAGACTCAGTTTTGTGTACCGGGTTTTATTAAAATAATGTACTTTGCATTGCTTAGAGAGCAATGGCTCTGGTTTCTACTCTGTTTTTCATGTTACCCTCTTATTTTATTGTAAAATCAAAGAATTGAGGACAAAAATGTAAATTTTACTTAATTTTACAGTAAATTAATTGTATGCTGGCAATTATGTGGAGTAAGGGCTAACTAGATATTTTTCCCAAGCCATGGCCTCTAGTATCTTCAAGCCCAGCCCTCCTTCCACAGAATTCTCCAATAAGTATGATTCCTCGTGGCCATTACCATAGAATGGAGAGAAAGAAGTACAGGCCACCATGTGTGTCTCAAAGATGGGACAGTGGTAAACACGGGGGGGGGGGGGGGGGGGGGCGGCGAGAAGGGGGGGGGGGGGGAGTTGGAGGTGATAGGAGGATAGCCATGACACAAAAAGCCAAGTCCAGGAGAAAGAAGTAGCTACACGATTTCAGTTTCAAGGACTCTGGTCTGAAACTTTCACCCAAAAATTTCCCTCACCCATGAAGTTGCAAGGCTAAGCATAGCTCCATCCCTGGTCTACAATCTGACATATCTCACTGGCAATGTGTATTCCAGTGCACAGGCAGCCTTTTCAGGGCCTCCTAGAATTGTGCCTGCATTGCCACTAGATGGCGAAAAGGTAGTTCTATAACACCTGAAAACCTAAGCAAATCAGTTCTCTTAATGAATCTAGAAATTCAGAAACTGGGCTGCCTAGGCACATCATTAACAAGCATGTGTAACAGGAACAAAAGCTGTAGCATATAGATATTCAGAATTTTTCCAGCCTCTTTCCCACTACCCTATGAGGAGGTGGGGTTGGGGCTCTGGGGGAAAGGAATCATTCCTGGCCTGCATGCAGCAAGGATCACCGTCTTAGAGGAAGAACATGTTAAGCACCAGCAGGTATGGAGAAGGTGAATGAATGGGGCGACTCGGCAGATGGTAGAGCAGGAGCCCTTTTTGTCTGTTTGCATATGTATGAAGATTGGGGAAGAGAGCTAAGCACAGTAGACAAGATTCAGGAGACCATTGTAGGAAGCTGGGCTTCATTCCCTTTCCCTTGAGAGTGAGCTGGACTTAGAGATTTTTAAGCAAGAGAGTCTGAAAAGGGATCTAAAGAACTGGGCATCAGAGAAACCCAGCAGACTCCACCTTAACCAAGCCATGGAGGATCACATGACAAGTGATTAGCCATAATGATATCATTACCCATGAGGAGATGTGATGAGAAGGGCACTTCCCCTCCCCAAAGGCCCATAATCCCAGTATGACCATGAAAAAAAAGATCAAACAAA